CCAGGATGGAGGAAAAGGCAGCCAAGCAGAGGCAAAAGGTCTTGATAAGGAGTTTAACGGGGCCAAAAAGGGATCGGATCGACAGAGACACTCAGATCCCAGAATGGCCAACAATCCAATCTCACACAGGTTCACTGAGGTGGCCTTGCAGACGGAGCAACAAGAAGAGTATCAGAGTATACCTGCAGGGGCCTGGAACCCAGGGGGCCTTAGCAGTCAGAACAGGAGGGCTTCTTGGCCTACTAGACAATCGGATCTTGCTGCTCATTCTAGGTCACAGATCCCTGTGACAGCTTCTGAAAGAGGACAGTCCTTTAGGGGGCACAGGCACACTCCAGAAGCAACTTTACTCCTACAGCAGTGGGGCTCCGCTGGGCAGGGGGCTTCAGAAGCAGGACATACCTCCCTTTTTGAGGCTTTGAATATCAGACAGGAAATTGCTGAGATACATCACAGCCAGCAATTGCCCATGCCAGTAGTGGACCAGACCATGCACCAGGAGTTTGGGCAGCCAGCGGGTGAGACTTTGAGTTACCAAGGGCCATTTCAAGGACCTTATTTCCCAGGGCATTCCACCCGAAGCCAATCTTCCCTGTCAGAGGGGGAGCTTCAAGGGGAGGGGGAATTTCAGACTGTGAAGGAGACCTGCCCTGTGTGCCGGCTTTCAAGGTCCCGTTTAACCCCTCTCTCTTTAAGTCTCTGCATTCCAAGGCATGGAGCACTGCTTGCGTGGGGAAGGATGCAGTTTCACAAGAGCCAACCCTGGAGATGGCAGAGCAGGAAGACTTCCTTTTGACAGAACAGACTACAGAGGCGGGTGTGATCCCTATTCCAAGGATCTCCTGGACATAATAAAGAGACAATAGATCTCTCCAGCCATATTTTCTAGACCCAATGGCTCAGAGAACATGCTTTACAGTGTAGATTCGAATCTCCTGGAACTGGTCCAAGTGCTGAACGTAGATAGTCCTGTGGCTGCCTTAACTTCCTCAGTCCTGCCACTGGACACGGAGGATGCATTGAAAGCAGAAGAATGAAGGGAGGAGATGGCTCTTTGTAGAGCCCATCAGGCTGACTCCTGGGTGATCCGGGCCTCCACTGCGGTATCCTTTTTCATCCGAGCATCGGTGCGCTGGCTCAGGCAGCTTCAAGCTCGAATCCCAGCGGAAGATCTGTAGGTGCACCAAGACCTCTGCAAAATCATTGTGGCTGTTGAGTTTACCGCAGATGTGTCACTAAACGCCACCAGGTTTTCGGCAAGTGCCATTGCCTCTTCAATAATGGCTTGTCGCATGTTGCTGCTGCGATATTGGCGCATGGACACCAAGAATAAATGGAAGTTGGTGTCCGCCCCCTTTAGAAGGAGTAAACCTATTTGGGGAATCTCTGGATCTATTTTTAGTGGAGACCAGAGATAAACAGAAGGTGTTTCCATCCCAAGGCAGGAGGGCAGATTTCTGTGCCTCGCTGTATTTCAGGCAGCCCTCATTTCGGCAGGAATAGTGGGACATGGCTTTCCCCGACAGCAGTGGCCCTTTCTACCCAGATCCAGCTACCAGACCAAGCTACCAGAACCAGAGGCAGACAACAGTCACAGGGCAAGCGGCCCTTTTGGGCAACAACAGTAGAGCATTCAGGCACCACAACTGACATCAGGACCCTACTTCCCATAGGAGATCATCTCTGTTTCTTCACAGATCGTTAAGAGGAGATCACGACCTCAGCCTTTCTTCCAAAGGTTAACTCCTTGTTTCACCAAGCACAGGAATTGATCTTGCCTGATTTCTGTCCTTGGTCTTGGCATGCCTTGGAACAGTGATGGCATAAGTTAAATGTTAGGCGGTCCTTCCGCATTTACATCTCTAGGACTGCTTTCGTTAGGAAAACTGAGTCCCTGTTCGTATCCTTTCAGCCATCAACTTTGGGCCACAGGGTGACAACTGCCATGGTGGGTCATTGGCTACAGGCATGGATTGCCAGGGCCTATGAACTCCAGGCTCTCTTGGTGCCTCAAGAGATCACGGCACATTCCACTAGGAGTGCTGCCACAACAGCGACCAGGACTATGTAGGCTTCTGTAGAAGAAATTTGTCGAGCAGTGACATGGACATCTCTGGTATTGTTCATCTGCCACTAAAGACTAGACACATACTCTTCCGTGGAGGCTTCATTCGGCAAACATGTTCTGCAGCGAGTGCATGAGGAGGCCAGGACTTCGGACCAGAATAGTCCCCGCCCATGGGACTGCCAAAGCTTTGGTATATCCCGTCCTGGACTCTCCTGTCGATCTAATGAAGAAGGGGCATGGTGTTACCCGAGATGCCCTTTCTCATGGTGATCAATGGGAGAGTCCAGTTCCACCCAGTTGACTGTCTGGTCCAGTTTCCGGGAAGGGATAAGTTTGAACTGGAGCCAGACTGAAAGATTCGCTTCATCTTCGTTGTTCAACTGGGGACCGTTACCAGGGAGGCATGTCCTCAGAATTTCAACTCAGTCAATAGAGCTACGAGATTAGACCTACCCATACTGGACTCTCCCATCAATCACCATGAGAAATGGTGTCTCAGGTAAGAACAATGCCACTTCTTTCCAAGCAAAGAAATAAACCTGAGTCGTGACAGTTGGTTGCAGCCTATGTAAGAATCTGTTCTACCCCTATTCTTTTTGATGGAAACAATGTCTGATATACATTTTATGGGTAATGTTGATGTGTGGATTCTGCTTCTTGGACCTTGGGCAGGAATACATGGAGCATGCAGAGTTTTCCAGGCAAGGCTGAGTTGGGCTGAGACTGGTGAAGTGGGCATCCCTACCAAGGCCCCCCTACAAAGGCAGACAGTGCCGCTGCATTGTAGGTTTGAGGCTAGGAAGCAAATGGCAAACCCATTAAAGAGTCATGGTGAAGAAGATTTTGAAAGTCAGCTTGGGCAATGGTGGCAGAGGGTATCAGTAGAGAAATGCAGTAGCCTCTTCGCAAAGTTCGCAAGAAAGGTATAGGGCACTGATGGTGAACCTTTTTCTTACGATGTGCCAAAATTGTACATGTGCGCTATTGTGCATACTCATGTGCCCACTCAATCTCCCCACCCAACTGCGCATGCATGACAACCCTCTCCCCATGCACCCTAACCCTACTCCAGCCTGCAGAGGCTTTCCTGAAGCCCAGGGACGGAAAAAAAGCCCCCCCCCCCCCCGGAGGCCCTCTGGAAGCTGGAAATGAATTGTTTCTGAACTTCTGGTTGGGCCATTGGGGCCGTTTTTTGCTCTCCCCAGGCTTCAGGAAATCCTCCAGGTTTCAGGAGGATTTCCCTCCCCAGGCTTCAGGAACAAACTTCCAGTTGGCCCGTTTTTTGCCCTCCCCAGCCTCTGGAGGCTTTCCTGAAGCCTGGGGAGGGCAAAAAAGAGTCCCAACCGGCCAATCGGAAGTTCACTTCCAGTTGGCCAGTTGGGGCCATTTTTCGCCCTCCCCAGCCTCCGGAGGGTTTCCTGAACCCTGGGGAGGGTGAAAACGGCATCCCCTGGGCCTCTGGAAATGTGAAAAATCAGCACGTGTCAGAGCTGATGGCTGGCAAGCCACCAAATATGGCTCTGCATGACATGGGTTCACCATCATAGGGTATAGGGTCTTTTCCTAATAATTGCAACCAAGAATAATGGAACAGCAGTTGCTGAGCAGCACAATTATGTGATATTTCATTTAATTAAATATTCACTGAGCAGTATAAATTCTGGTCCCAATTAGGGTTGTAACCTAAGGACTACTATGAAGCAATTTATAAATTGCTACTCGTCTTGACAATGATATTGTCATTGGTGGTATTATCAGCATTTGAAAATAAAAATATATATTAAATTGCATATTGATTTTATCATTGTTTATACAAGAATAAATATTAACATATAATGCAATATTTAGCCACACAAAATATTGATTTAAAATTTTGAATCAGTCTATGAATCCTTTAGACCAGCCTTTTCTATGTATACATTGTGTTCCCAAATTTATGTAGTATTTTAAGTCCCTTTAAATAATATTTGGTATTTTATTTAATATGTACTTATATTTAAGCAGAGTTCAATGCCTATTGTTCTAATATACTTTATTAAACTTCTCCAAAAAGTAAAATATAAATAAAAACAAACAGAATTATTAAAAAGAAAAAGCAGAATGGAAGATGGAAAAGAATAAAGAAAACCTAATAGAATTTTAAAAAAAACAACTTTGAATTTCTCCAATACAGTTACAAATATAAATTATATAGAACATAGAATCATAGGGCTGGAAGGGATCCAGAATTCTTCAAACCCCTGCTTAAGGTAGGAGACCTTATAACATTCTGATCAAATGGTTGTCCAGTTTATTTCTGAAAACCTCCAATGATGGAGCATTCACAACTCTAGGAGTTAAGTTACCTCATTGGTTGTTCTCACTGTCAGAAAATTTCTCCTTAATTCTAGGTTAGCTCTGTCTTTAACAAGCTTCCACCATTATTTCTTGTCCTGTCCTCTTGTGCTTTGGAGAATGTCAATCCTCTCTTCTCTGTGACAGCCCCTCAAGTACTGAAGACAGTTATCATGTGCCCCTGTAATCAATCTCTTCAATAGGCTAGACATTCCTTCAACTGTTCATCATACGATTTAGCTTCCATAGTAAGTAGTGTATATGTATATAATTTCTGATGCTACTTTAACCCCAATGTTTTTTATTAAGCAACTAAAAACTATATGGACTGAGTCTGTCGATAGTCTGGGTTGCCAGTGAGAATGCCAGCAAGAATGCCAGCTACCTCGCTTCCACTATTTATTTTTCATTTCATTATGTCTATCAGATGAAGAAAGATAACAGAACCATATATTTAGTATATTTATGTTTTTAATTTATGCTACTACATGTAAACAATTCTATAAAGACTGAAGTGTATTGCTTATCTGTGTAGCTGAATAATTTCATACATACAGGTGGTTATTTCTATTTCTTTTTCTTTTTTTTTACTTGGCAGATACATAATGAGCATATTGATGCAAGATAAATTTAGTGAACAACTATAAAATGCCCAGGTTTGGGTCAACAAAGACAGTTCAAGTTCAGAATTCTGTCAGCGATAGCACCATGGTGGAGAAACCAACTGGAAGAAAGGTATAAAAAGAAACTTAAGATTATGTTTTAGCTAATTTATGGAAATAGAATCTTTGTGAGTTAAAAACAATTAGTTGACTAAATGGATTTGAATAATACAAAAATGAGTCGCTATAGTCAAATGCTAATAAAAGCCCTATCCTTTGTTATGATATTGTTTATTGTGTTATTTTTATTTTTATAAAACATTTCAGTGTGTCATATACAATAACTGGTGAAATTGCTTGAAGGTAACTCGCTGCTTCATTTAACATACCAAAGATTATATTTCATAGCATTAATTTTAAGATTTAAAACAGTAGTAATATGAAAGATGGGAAATTATATTATAGAAACTATCACTTCCTGTTTTATCTTAACAAACATCATGCAGTATGAAATATTGGAAGAGGAGAAAATAGTTCAAAGTTTATCTTTCTCAGGAAAGACCACTGGATTTTGGAATGGAGGCATTGCTAATTAGTCATTTCCTGTTTATGGTGGGGAGGTCTTCTGTATATATAATTTCTGGAATAGTCATTCAGGAAGTTATCAAAAACAGTACCATAAAAAACAGATTAGGAATACAAGTTAAAATAGTCAAGAAAATGGTAAGTGAGCACCTGTCCACCCTAGATGAGTTTAACTCGCCAGAACCAGATGGATTACATTCTAAGATTCTAAAGGACTAGCAATCTCAGAACCATTGAACTATATTTTTCAAAGATCCTGGAGCACCAGGGAACTACCAGGAGACTGGAAAAGAGTTGATGTAGTTTCCATTTTCAAAAAAAGGAAAAAAAACAGATCTAGGAAATCAGTCTGATTTCAATATCTGGGAAGATTCTGGAAAAGATAATCAACGAATCTGTGAACACCTGGCGGTAAACAAAGTCATAACCAAAAGCCAACATGGCAAAATCAGATTGTGCCAGACAAATCTTGTTGCATTCTTTGACAAAGTGATTCTTTGACAAATTAGTAGACCAGAGGAATGTTGTGAATATAATTTACTTGGACTTCAGTAAGGAATTTGATAAAATAGACCATAACTGAATACTTGATAAGATAGAAAAATGTGGGTTAGACATCATCACTATCAGATGGATTCGTAACTGGTTGACTAACCGCACTCAACATATAGTCCTCAATGGAACTGCATAGAGAGAAGTATGCAGTGGGGTATTCCAAGGCTCTGTTTTAGGCCCAGTATTCTTTGACATCTTCATCAGTAATTTGGATGAGGGAATAGGTGGAGAACTCATCAAATTTGCAGACAACACGAAGCTGGTAGGAATATCCAACCTTCCAGAAGACAGGCTTAAGATACAGAAGGATCTTGATAGACTTGAATATTGGGCGCTATCTAACAAAATGAAATTTGATGGTGTAAAAAGTAAGAATCTACATTCAGGCAAGAAAAACCAAATGCACAGGTATAGTATGTGGTACCTGGCTCAATAGTAGTAATTGTGAGAGAGATTTTTATTTATTTATTTATTAAATATATTTATATGCCGCCCAATCCCGAAGGATCTTGGAATCCTAGTGAACAATCACTTAAATATGAGCCAGAGTACTATGTAGCTGCTAAAAAAGCCAACATAGTTTTAGGCTGCATTAACAGAGAAATAGAATCAAAATCACATAAAATGTTAATACCAATTTATAATGTCTAGGTGAGATTTTGGTAAGAATGCATCTAGTTTTGGTTGCCATGGTGTAAAAGAGATGTTGAGACTATAGCTATTCTCCAAAGCACCTGAAGGCAGGACAAGAAGCAATGAATGGAAACTAATCAAAGAGAGAAGCAACCTAGAACTAAGGAGAAATTTCCTGACAGTTAGAACAATTTATCAGTGGAACAACTTGTTTCCAGAAGTTATGAATGCTCCAATACTGGAAGTTTTAAAGAAGAGAATGGACAACCATTTGTCTGAAATGGTATAGGGTTTCCTGCCTGAGCAAGGGGTTGGACTAGAAGACCTCTAAGGTCCCTTCCAACTCTGTTATTCTGTCATTCTATTATTCAGGACCTAAAAATCATGATTAGACAACAGTTGAGAGAAACAGAAACAAATATTTTGATGGCTGAGATTTTGCTCAGGCTAAGATTTAAGAATACTTTTGTTCTGAATAATGAAAAGGTACGTAGGAAGGTTTTGACACTGCATTATTATAGATCTGCTAAATAAAAATTGTACTACAAGAGGGCCAAACTAAAATATTGACATGATTTGGTGGTAGGAATGCTTTAGGATTCAGTTATTTGTCTCATCTTGGTTTTTGATGTCTACTGTACAGATTTTTCTCATTAATTAGATAACTGAACAGCAGTCAGTTTTCTGTTTCTGAGAAATGATAATTCTCTGGGAGCATCTCTCTTTAGTGTGTTAGATTAAATATATAGCAGAGGCTCCCCAATTGAAAATGCACATATATTACATTTATCAATGTTGTGCTACATAATTAAGCTCTTCTGTACTCCTTTGGATTATTTTATTCCTAGCAGTCTCTTACATAACTAATAGAGCTGTTTTTTCTGTAATAAAATGAACTTTGTTTGGATCAAAAGCTCAATCAAGAAACAATATCTGGTAACAATTTAGCATGAACACAGAATTAATATATTTTACCTTCTGAATTAATTTGTTAAAATGTTGTAAATTGTTGCATACTAATTCCTGTGTTTGCTTATTTCAAAAGACTAATACATTGTAATAAAACATATGTTTATAGCTAATCTACTGAGTATAAATAGGGAAAATTTAATTGAAGTTTTTAAGACTGACTGTGCCAAAATTTCAAAAACTTTCTGCTTGTAGGTATAACGTGTTTTATTGCTTCTGCATTATGTAATTCAGAGATTAAGAAGAAATAATCCTTTTACGTCACTTTTTGTTTGAAAAGAGTAGGGGTTCTCTCAGGGATGGGTTTCTACCGGTACGGTGGCATGGCTAGATGGGGGAATGACTGAGTGCGCGTGACCAACTCGATGTCACTCACGCCCACTCAGTCACATAACCCCCTCACCAAGTCATGCCAATCAAAATGGTGGTGAAAGTTTTGATGGGTGGCGGGGCTCCAGCCTTGTCAGAGTTAAGGGAGCACCTGCAAACTACCCAGTAAGAAAAAAAAGTTTTAGTCCTCCCTGGCCCCCAGGAAAACTCTGCAGGCTTCAGCAGGGTTGGGGNACCCCAAACCTAACCCTAACCTAACCCTAAACCTAACCCTAAACCAAACCCCTAAACCTAATCCTAACCCTTACCTTAATTTAAATCGGCTTTCTGCCGCCGCGCTGTTTTAAAGCGCCCTTCTGTCGCCGCGCTGTTGTCGCCGCGGTGATGACGTCACAGTGATGACGTCGCGGCTTTAGCGATGCGGTTTTGTCACCGCTATTTTGACGAGCGCGGTTTTGTCGGGCCACGCTGTAAAGCACTATGAAGCAGTATATAAGTCTAAGTACTATTGCTATATCAACTTAGGCAAAAAGGGATGGGAATGATATCAATTTAGCAAATATTTTTTCTTTAACTTTTTTCTCATCATATGCACTGACTTGGGCTAAGTATTTGTCACATTAACTCCAGGCTAACATAATTGAAAAGTCCAGTCCCAGCACCTAAGGAATGGGTGGAGGGGATGGGGGGGATGTGATATCTTGGGATTACTTGCCCTTATATTATAAAATACCTACTTTCTGCAACCCATAGAGTTTTTGTCAGACAGAAGTGGAGTACCAGGGTGGAAAGAGCAATGAAACTCTTCCATTGGCAAAAGGAACTTCCGAGAACTAGGATCCTGAGCTGTGTTTAAGTATTTGTATTGGTCTATAAAATAATTGTAAAAATGTCCTTAATACTTCTGTTGCTAAATATGTTTTTTGCAAATGTAATATGAACAGTGTATTTATACAAGTAGTATATACTATATTGCCAAAAATATTCGCTCACCCATCCAAATAATCAGATTCAGTTATGAGCGAATACTTTTGGCAATGTAGTGTATTTCTTAGAAAATCATTTACAAATGATAAATTATGCCAGACAAGCTTGACCTCCCTGTTTTATTAGATTTACAAAAGCACCCCGGGCAAGACATTCAGGCTAATAAACATGGCAGTCCTACTTTTTGCTCATAAGTATGCCAAACTAATACAATGACAATATTAAATATGTAAATTACTATGGCACAGTTGTTCAATATATAATTTATTTGCAGAAAAAAATAAAATGGAAAAGGGAATTTTGTTACTAAACCTAGTTTGAAAGACAATATATAATACAGAAAAAAATCTTATCCATAACAAAAGCATTTTTCAGGTTTCACATACTTTTGATACAATACAACAGCTCAATAATTAACAGTAAGTTTATGTGATGTTTAAAAAACTAAAAAAATCTATTTTTATAGAAGAATTTCATTTTCCTACAGAATATAATAACAAATGCACCACTACGTTTTTTCCTATTACAAAACTGCAGAAAAAATACTGTTTGTGTGTGTGTGTGTGTGCGCGCGTGCGTGTGCTTTTCTGTGTGTTCAGTGAATGGGGAAGTGATTTCAACATTTCTTAGATAAAATCATTGAGGTTTGAAGGAAAATGTATAGCCCAGTAAAAGATGAGAAATTAAGTCATGTGGCTATGAGAAGAATTGCTGATTAAAATAGTTGCAAAAAAAAGTTGAGAAGTTATTGATCGGTGCATATTAATCCTCACTTCATTTTATCTTTAGAGTAAACATGGCTTCCTATCAATTCTCTCCTGGTTCCATGTACATCCAGTTGATGTACCTGATCTCACAACATGAAAATTATTGGTTTATTTTGAAGGAATATCGAGACAATGTAGTTATAATTGGGAACTTAGCTTACTGTCTTATACATCATAATAAAATCAGAATAAACCTTGTTGACAAATTTGCAGAGTTATATAGGTAACTGAATCATAATGCTCTTGAATATGTGGTCATATTACTAACAGTACATTTTTCTTCATGTTATAATGTTGCTTCCAAGAAAAATGCCATAAATATAGAAAATATCAGTATGTGTACTTATTTATGAAACATTACAAATTATAATTATGGCAAAAGTACAGTTAACAAGGACAATGAAATTCAATTACAAAAATAATTACTTTTATTTATGAATTTCCTATGAAAATTATATTTAGGATGAAGATATGGAAATTACTATTCTGCTATATTATTTCTGAAGACATTTATTTTGTATCACATGATATAAGTCATATGATCAAACTAAATCCAATTGTTAAATAAACCAACACATCAAGTGAAAAACTTATAGAATACGGCATTATGTGTAAAATGTTATAGAAAGGAAATACTGAAGTCTTATTTTCTGTATTCCATCTTCCTCACTTATTTTTCCCAGCTGTTTTTGCCAATACAGGGAAATACTATTTTAAATCATGATGTTCCATTATGAAAATAAGTAAAATAGTTTTTAGTTAAAAAATATTCTCTCACTCTCATAATAATATGTTTCTTCTTCAATATCTGTCTTCTACCAGAAGCCTCAGAGTTTGAGGTCTGTGGAGACTCTCAGTCATCCAGATCATGGTTGTCCCAAAGGTGCTTTTTCAAGAGAAAGTCCAGTTGTCTCTTGAAAAAGCAGCTTTGGATCAGAGTTTGAGTATTCTGCGCACTATCTTAGCTATTCCTAGCACTGTACTCTTTTGAACAAATTGCTCTCATGTTGTTCCTGGGTTATGGTAGCACCACTCTCCCATCTTAGGAGTCACAGCCTGACTACTCCTACCACCACTGTGAGCACTTTGGCCTTTGCTTTCTACATCCTCTCTAGTTTCTTCTTCAGACTTTGGTATTCTACTTCTCATACTCCTTTTTCCTGATGTATCTGTCACTTGGTACGATTACATCTGTTATCATTCCTTTCTTCTGGTCCTCGTCTATTACCACAATGTCTGGTTATTTGGCCAATACCTGTTTGTCCATCAGGATCTGGAAATCCCACAGGATCTTAGCTCTGTTGACCTTCTGTGGAATCTCCCATGGAGACTTAGGTGGGTCTGGCCCCAACACTGTGCAGATGTATACAGTGCCAAATCCTTGGTTTTGTCATTCAGTATATGCTGTTCCTGCCTGAATCTTATAGCCTGCTGTTATGTATTGGACCGTCTTTGAGCTTTTCTACATAGTCTGCACCTTGAGTCTTGTCTGGTGTGGGTTGCCTTGAGTTGACTCCAGTGTAGTATTCCACAGTCCCATTAAATTCTTGAAGAAGGCCCTTAGTGTCTTGTTGACTTTGTATATCATCACCAGTCATTCACAGATCCATGGGTGTGGCATTGAATTTCCTGTAGTCAATCCAGGCTGTGTTCAGATTGATCTTTCTAGATCTTGAGTCTTGTATGGTTGATCTATGACCATGTGATGTCAGGATCATCTGGGGTGGTTCCCGATGCCCTTCTGGGCTGTGCTCATGTACTGGCCCATATTGTCCTGTACCATATGCCTTGATAGGACTTCCTATGTTGTGGGAAGGTAGGTTATTAATTGGTAGTTGGATGGATTTGTTTCCAGTATTGTCCTTCCTTGTATTAGCCAGCCTGGGAGGGAGCCTGCTGTTAGCAGTTGGTTCATCTGTATTGCTAGGCATTCATGCACTGCTGATTTTTTTTTTTTTAGCCAATAAGTGTGGTTATTTGCTGGATGCCTGTTAATATGATGGCGACTGGTTCCTGTTTTGGGAAATTAATTTTATCTGTTTTCGGATTTTGCAGTTACTTTGCATTGGTGTTATGTGTCTGCTGTTTCTCTTATATCTTCTTCCAATACTGTTCAGTTTCTGCTGTTCATAGATCTGCTGTTACTTTGTTGTTGCACTGCAGTTTTGAGCATACTTTGGATGGTTCTTTGGAGAACAGGACATTTATCTTCTTGGCCTCTGCTTTTCTAGCATATCTCCTTATCTGGCAGCCAGTTGTGTAGCTGTCTCTAAGGCTTCAGATGGAGTCAGGCCCTTGTATTTTTTCAGTAGCCAAACCTTATCTTTAATCTTCACACCCTTCTGTAATTCCACCATCTGACTAATCTCTGTCTAAGTTGCCTTGATCTTAGCCTCTAACCTCATTTTCTAGAGGGTTGGTATGTGCTGTTCTTGATCATGTAGCCAAGCATCTCCAGCATTACAGAAGTTATGCCATACAGTATATCTGTTCATCGTTTTGAGTTATAGTAGTCATAGGAATTGTTGTGAAGGCTCTATTGGCATCTTTTAGCATGCTAATGCTAGTACTGTTGGATGGTACTTCTCCACTAAGTCTTGGTAACTGGTACAGCTATTTTATCCATTGTCTTATGCCTCACTTCAACTGCTCTGCTCTCTAAAGGTGAAGGTAACAGTGATGTTCCAGCTTCAGTTGTTGGCTGCATATCTAGTAGGTCTTCTTGAGTCTGGTATGTTATGTGTAGTTGGCCTTTTTCAGAGAGCAGCTTCCCTTTACTATGTTGAAGAATCAGATAATTTAGCTGTTTTTCAGTTAGTATTGATGTAGGTCTTTTGTCCATCCGTACCTCCCTTATATGCTTCATATATCCCCTCTCATTAAGATTTAGTAGTAGCATTCATCAGTTCAAGGTTCTCTTACCTAGTCCATTTATGGTTTGTTCTAGTAGTCCATTTATTGTCAGATTGTCCTGGTTCCCCAACAGCTGACACAGATCTTGTTGATCCAGGAGACATCTGTGCTGGTATTACTTTCCTAGTTTGTGTCACACTCATATTTGAGGTAGACGGATGAAATGTTAAAGGGTCTTGCTCAAAGGGCACGTATTGGTATGTTTAGGTACCAGCTGAGATTCGAATCCTGGTCTCCCACATTAAAGTTAATGCTGCAACCATTATTCATCTGCGTTTGCGCACGCATACGCACACACACACACACACACACACATTAATATATAGTATAATATATATATGTATACCTGTGTGTGTATAAACAATGAAGAAGCAGTTCAGTACCACTTTTCCAGCTATACATCCATTTTAGGAGTTTATGCTGATAAAATAGACTTCNGCTGCTGTTTATATTAACCTTAGAGGTTTTAGCCAGGAATGTACGTAAAGAGGAACAGATAAAGGGACTAGAAATTAAAAAGGAACAATTTAAGTTACAGGCTTTTGCGGATGATCTAGTGTTTGTATTAGAGGATCCTATAAAGTCAGGTATGAAACTTACTGAGGAATTGACAGAGTATGGGAAAGTAGCGGGTTTAAAGATAAATATGACAAAGACTAAGACTTTCAGGGAAAAAGGTGCATCTTATACTCCGAAAAATATGGTACTCAGGTGCCCTCTGTAGTATATTATATAAGAACACACAAGCTGACATACCTGAAAGGTTCAGTTGTAGTTTTAGGAATCAGTTTACTATATCCTATTGAATTTTTTCCTTTTGACTTTAATAAAATATTTTCATATAAATTGATCAAACTAATAATTTGTTCTAGATTTTTTTTTTGAAATATGGAACTTTGGAATAGCTTCTTTATTGCATAATTCTGTTTATTCTACCTCAGTTTTACACAATAACAATTTTATTTTTATCTATAAAAATAGAAGATATCAGTCTCTTTAGCATTTTGTTACAACTATGTTTACAAAAGTTTCACAATAAAGTTTAACAATCTTACTAATGTGTTATAAATTAAAGAACAGTTTACAGGGGAAACTATTGTTGGTTAGTTGAATTGAAGCCTTCAGTGAATGTGCGTATTTTGTTTATTGTCAGTCTTATGCAAACGTACTTATAACAGTATATTTTACCTTATATAAGAGCAAGGACAAGATTGCCTCTTACAGCAAAACTGCAAAAGTGGATAGAAGTGATGCGGGAAAGGACATGAAAGAAAAATCTTCCATGAAACGTAAACTTCAGTTTAATGTTAGTCCACCCAGAAATGAAGATCAAAATTCAGATACAGGTAGAGCTCTTTTTGTTTTATTTTCTCTTTTCATCTTGCTTGTGATAATTTTATTATTTGGTTTATCACAAAATATAAAAATTAATAGTGAAATAATAGTAAAATATCCCATTTACTAGCTATTACTCCAGCAAACTGATTTTCTTAAAATATAAGGGAAGCTTCAAAATATTCAATTTGTACAATTCATAGCAATTCTACCTGCTATGCATCTGTTTTACAGTACTTACTAGGCATCTGTTTTACCCTAGCCTATTATGTATTTAAATAAATTGATACCCATAAATATCAATGGTGAACACAATTGCTAATTGTAAGTGATGTGTTGGCAGAAAAAAGAATCAAATTCATAAAAAGCATAATCAGATATTTGTCATGAAGTAATGTATTGATATGTAAATATAGAGGACACAAATTGTTTACATATAAGCATCTTTAAATCCCACTTATTTAAAATATATATTTAAATGTATCTTTAAATCTTTCAATTAAAGAGTCTTAAATGTTCATTTGGACAGTTGATGTACTCAGAAATTATGTGGATATGCACTCTATTGCTTAAGTTACATATTCCATTGTTTTAAAATAACTAATGATCATGGTCTTTTAGATTTTGTATTTTATTTTCAGTGAACGGTAAATCTAATTTTCAAGATGTGTTTGTGCTTGCCTGATCTTTCAGCAGAATATTTGTATACAAAATTACTTCTAAAGCACACTTGATTCTTTGTTGACTTAATAAATATATAAAATGAGTCAAGCTTGTATATACCGTAGGATAAATCAGCTGTCCCTAAGCTTTCTGGCTCTGTGGACTGGCAGTGGCGGGGATGGGAGAGGAGATGGTTTTATGCACGCTCCTTCCATTTGCACAAATGGAGCTTCACACACTCATGCTCTTGCCTGCCATTTGCCTGGCCCCGTTCCCAAAAGACTGCAGACTGGGTCCACGCTGCGGAATGAGGATTGGGGAACCCTGGTATAGATCAAAGGAAACACTCCTCTATCAGATTATAAAACATTACAAAATAATTTGGCCCATATGGAGCTTCATTGAGATAGTTTCTTTCATTCTCAGTCCATCTCCTCTTCCCCCTCCTCAAATATTATATTTTTATACTTACATTTGCATTCATGTTGGAAGATTTAAGTGATAATTGTCTGTTGCTTTTTGTATTGTTTTTGGGTTAAATTTTGTTGGAAGATTGCTTCTACATTTCACATGTATAATACAGGGCTCTCACGGTATTTTCCTATTTCCCATGTTAGCATTACATGGACCTAGTAAATATCATGTGAGGATTCATCCTGACTGTGATGATATTCAGCTTCCATTTCCTAATCCTGAAAGTAAGGACATTGAATTAACATGAAAGAAAGTTTAGTTCTTTGTGGGTTTGGGTATTTTGGTATTTTGGCATGGAGACAATAAAAGCAAAGATTATTTAGGCAGTTAAGAATTGAGTGATTTGATGATCTAGAAATGTATTACATGTTATTTAATGATTCACATTTTCTTTGTGCAGAGAAATACTCCTAGATTAAAAAAAATACTGCTAGTCATAGTGTCCAAGAATCTGTTCACTAGTTGTGTCCTTTCCTGGGAGAAAAAAAAGTCATACTCTACTATTCTTGTAGGTATGTGATAGGTGTGTTTACCTATCTCCTCAACAAAGCTGTTTTTAAGGCACTGTATAAATTTCAGTTAATTCACAATACAGGTAGCCCTTACTTAACATTCGTTTGTTCAACATTTTTTCAAAATTAAGATTGTGCCGAATAAAAGAACTTACGATCTGTGTCCAAAGTTGCTGCATTCCCAGAGTCACATGACAAAAATTTGGGAGTTCAGCAGTCTACTTGCATTTACAAACAAAAGTGTGCTGTAACTATCTCTACCCAGCCAACTCTTCCCCTATCTCATCCACCCACCCAGCCCACCAGCACACATAAAGCTGTCATGGCCCAGGAGACCTCAGTTGATCCCCTGCCTACGAGGAGACCTCAAGCAGTTACAGATCCCAAGCACACACAAACTGTCCCACTTACCTTTGCAGTTTTCTATCAGGTGTGCCCAGCTACTACTGAATCTACCTCATACCATTTGGCAAATGGGTGCATTCTTGCAATCTTTCAAAAGCTTAATATCTATGGAGATTCTCAGTCTTCTAGGTCATGGTTGTCTCAAAGTTGCTTTTTCAAGAAGCAACTGGACTTTTCTGCTTTTTGTATGAAGATGTTTTGCTTCTCATCCAAGAAGCTTCTTCAAAGAAAAACCAGAAAGTCCAGTTGCCTATTGAAAAAGCACCTTTCAAAAGCTTGCTTCTACAAATTGCATGATTTGGTAAAAGAGGTTTTCAAAGCACTGTGAGAGTGGGGTCATGGTTGTGATTGGGGTGATGCAATGGTGGGTTTCAATTTATTTTATACTGGTTCGCTTGTGCGTGCTTGCACAACGCTTCTGCACATGTGCAGAAGTGTCTGGGCAGGTGAGCGGAGTCTCCCACCGCCGCCACTATCAGTTTGCCTGATCCGTTGCGAACTCGCAGAAACCTATCTCTGGGGTGATGGTGATGTGCCATGAACTTGGTGTTAACTATTAACAACCATATAGCTAAATTTTCTCCAGAATGATTTGTCCTCAACCTAGTCCTTCAGATCTTCCAATATTGCACCAATCTGCCACTGAAATTGAGTTTAGCCATCTTATTCCTGTCATCCTATATTTTCCTTTTCTTTCACCTTGAAGAAATGCTTAATTGGTCAGGAATGAACATATATTTCCTATAATGCTTCCAAAAATGTAATAATAAGATTAGATAGGTTTGTGTAGTTTCTTGTTAGAGGTTCCTAATTACTATAGTTTTCTGAAACATGGTAACCTATTTTTGCTTTCAAGAAATACAGAAAAGCTTTGAACCGCATGGTGTTTTTCACACATATTCCGCCCCATCAGGTGTCCTCCAAAAAACTGGGTGATTCAATCTATTAATAGAGTAAAATTTACAAACTGCTATTTTGTAGATTGCAGATGCAATAGTCAAAACCTCTGTCTGACTAGGCCCTGATATAAAAGCTGAAGTTGAAGTTGTCCCTTCAATATACTAACTGCAGCTGAAGTTGTCCAGAACAGAAACTTAAATTTATCTTATATTAAACAGCTACCATAAATCTTCATGAATGCTATAATTTGTGTGTTTTTATAATAATGTATTTATACACATTATTATAATCTGATATTTATACTACCATTTTTATATTTATAGCTGAACGCGAACAAATCTAGTACTCCTGCCTCTTATTTTCCCAACAACAACTTCGTGAGATTGATTGGGCTGAAAGAAAGTGACTGCATCATACCATCTTTGGTTTCTAGATCAGCACTTTAATCATTACACAAAACTAGTTATCTAATGATCTACATTGTAACAAATATACTTTTAGATTTAATGGAAATTCAAAAGTATACATAGTCATTAATTTATGGCCACAATTGAAACCAGAATTTTCATTGCCAAGCAAGATGATTGTTAAATGAGCCACGCCATTCAATTTTATGATCCTTTTTGCCATGTTTATCAAGCAAATTACTACAGGTTAAATGAATCATTCTGTTATTAAGTGAATTTGACTTCTCCCATTGGCTTCACTTGCCAAAAGCTGGCTGGGAAAGTTGCAGATGCCAATCACATGACCCTAGGACACTACAAGCATTGTAAATACATGACAGTTGCTGAGCACTTAAATTTTGATCACGTGATGGTAGGGATGCTGCGATATTTGTGTGAGGACCAGTTGCGAGTCACTTTTTTCAGTGCGATTGGGCTCAAAACAAAAGATTCTAAGTTGGAGATTAGTTGTAACTCGACTCTCCAGCTTCTTAATGATCTCTTAAGATTTTGAAATGTTTCTTTGTGGATGTCTGTGTGCATGTATCTGTGTATTCTTTAATTTGAGGTTTTCCTCTGTTATTTAATAGTAACATGCTTTTATGAGAGAAATAAATTAATATTTAATTAGTAAGAACAAACTATTTAAAACCAAAAATAATTTTGGAAATGTAATTCAGATTCCAATGGTCATGAATCAAGTTTTTAATAATTGTGATGCAATTAAAAAAGCACATACAACCATGATTTTTTTCTCTCAGAAATTTATAATTGTTAATGTTTGTTGCTCCTGATAATGTGTAATATATTCTGACTATTTTAAAAACATCAACTAATTTCCAAGAAAATTAAACAATATTGGTTATAAATTACATTAAGATATGCTTACTGGCCCTTTGTGCAGTTTTTTATTATTTTTATATTTTTATTCATTTTAAGATGATTGAAAGCATAATGTAGTGTTCCCATTTAGAAACCAAGGAGACCCAAAACAACATATACAATATATTTAGCTTCATAGCCTTATTTAATATCAAATATTTCTTTATGCAATACTAACATTTACTCATGGGTTTGCAGAACTTCAAAGAGTGAATTAATTTAACCCTCCTTTCTTTGAATCTTGATTTAGGCTTAGTTTTAATAAATTATAATTTTCATTTTAGATTTAATAAAATGATATTTTATGAAACAATCTATAAAGCGTATTTTCGAATATGATTAAGCAATTACGTTATAGTGGCTGAAGTGTTGAATTAGAGCCATCGAAATTGAGGTGCAAGTCAACCTTCAGGTATGAAAATTCTTTAAAACAATTTGGACCAGTCACTATTATTCAGTCTTATCTTCCACAGAGGAAAAAATGCATGAGAAAACGATATTCCATCTTTTGCCTTCAGTAAAGTAAAGGAAAAATCTAAAAAATTATATTTTGTTATAGAACTATTTCATGTTTGTTTATTATAATTTATAGGCCGCCCTTTTCCCTGAGGGGACTCAGGGCGGCTTACAAAACACGGGAAAGGGGGTACAAAGACAAAAAACATAAANAGTCTAGTCTGAAATATAACACTACAAACAGTGTATATTGTCTGTACTGTTTGTTGCAAGGAGGCAAATTGCTGAGAGGCAGAGGCAGATACTTTTGTTTTCCTCCCCAAAAGCTAGGTGTGTCTTATACTTCGGAGCGTCTTATATTCCGAAAAATACGGTAGATATAAATAGTTTGGGAGTATGTGGCATTAGTACAACCCCAAAGGTGGAGTAACAAAGAATAACATTTTGATTTTAATAAATGCAATGAAATAAGTACAGGTCTGGCAAACTGTATTATGTGCAATGTATAAAACAAAACAATACTCTAGCTTTAATTTAAAGCTTACTTATAAAAAATACTATCTGCATTTCAAAAATTTGGAAAGGCAAAACAATACAACTAAAATTATGTTCTGCCTTTTGTTATAGGTTGGACACCACTTCATGAAGCCTGTAATGCTGGTTATTATGATGTTGCTAAAGTCTTGATAGCAGCAGGGGCAGATGTAAATACTCAAGGCTTAGATGATGATACACCACTCCATGATTCTGCAAGCAGTGGACATCGGAAGGTAGATACCATTCATGGAAAAATTAAATACATAATATGTGTTTATTTTTAATAAAGCTTACTAAACAGAATATAGCAAAGGAATCCTATATTATCAATTAGGCCCTTGGATATGAATAATTTGTTACCAGCATCGGTGGAAAAGGCAATGGTGATTATTTTACTGTGCATTTAAAGGTATCTATTAAGATAGAGGTTCAAATCATATGCAATCACAACAATAATATATATGGCAATAAAGAAGAATTACACAATATAGCTCAACTATTTTATCTGTAAAAATACACAGTATTAATGCCATTGAGGAAAGAAGCCTGCAAAGGAAACACAGAATCTTCATAGGTCTTCTCAGTTATCCAGGTCATGAGTGTCCCAAAAATGCTTTAAAAAAAAGGAAGTTGGACTTTCTGATTTTTCTTTAAGACATTTTACTTCTCATCCAAGAAGCTTCTTCAATTCTGAAGAACCAAAGAAGTTTCTTGAATGACAAGTGAAATGTCTTTAAGAAAAATCAGAAAGTACGATTACCTTTTTTAAAAGCACCTTTAGGACACTGATGATCTGATGACTGAGAATCCCCATAGACAATCTACCTAGGTTAATGTTTCAAGAATCTTTATAAGGAAAGAAGCTCCTTTATTAAGTTGTGATGGCAAAGAGCAAGATACAGAGAGTTAAGTATGTAATGTCTGGTATCTCAGTTTAGAGATGCAGGGAATGGAAGCTTGTCCTACTAAAGGGAAATTTATTAAGGGTCAAATTGGTATTGACTTTTAGCAACCACATAGATTTTATCCAGGAGAATGTGTCCTCAACCTAGTCCTCCAATAATGTGCCTTTTGCCATTGTATGTAAGTTCATCCATTTTGCTGCTTGTCCTTCTTTTTCTTCCATCTATCCCAGTACTATAGACTTCTCCAGGGAGTTAGGTTTTCATATAATATGACAAATAGAGTAATCTGAGCCTGTCATTTTTGTTTCAAGTAAGAATTCGGGGTTGATCTGAGCAGTTACACCCCCCCCCCAACCCGGCAACTGTCTATGGTATTTTCCAACACTAAAGCTCAAACATATTACTATATGTAATACTTCTTCTATCATGTTTTGATAAAATATCTGTCTTGATGACATGTTTCAAGTTATGTCAAAGCCTTTTTATATGTCAGGTTTTGATATAATATTTGCTTTGATAGAGTATTTAAAGTTCTGCCAAGTCCTATTTTTATTTAGCTGGCAGAAATTGATTATAGGGTTATTATGTAAAAATCCTTAAACATTGTAGGCTAATAAATAGTCAGTGTTTTTTTTAAAGAATTAATCCAATACTTCAAAAACTGCTTTAGAGTAATCAGATGACATGTTCCATATAAGAAGTATGAGGATTTCAACATTTTTGATCATATCTATCATTCTATCATTTATTGATAGGATCAGTATAATATGGTGCATTTTTAAGAGTAAGAGTGTTAAAAATACAGGTTAGTTTTTCAGTTTATTTCCTGATCAAACTTTTGTAAAATTGGGCTTTTGTTACAATGAACTTAATATTTCAGATTGTGAAGTTGCTCCTCCGACATGGTGGTAATCCATTCCAAGCCAATAAACATGGTGAAAGACCTGTAGATGTAGCAGAAACAGAAGAACTAGAACTATTACTGAAAAGAGAAGTTCCTATTTCTGATGAT